AAAAAGGAGCATTTACGAATTGCATTTGCTGGGCCTCCCCCGCCTCTCGCCTCGGCCAACTCCCTAATCAATGCACCTCTTCTACCGACGGAGATATACTTAGAGGATGCTTGGATACAAAAAGGGATATATTATTTACCGTCCCCATTTTATTAGTCACCGCCCTTTGAACGATTTTACCTTTCTCATTTTTTCTAAACATCTCAAAGGAAAGTGTACGGTGAAATGTCATCAAATTCAGAGGTACGAAAAATTTTGTGTCCGGCCGCCGGAACCAGACGGTTTTTAAGCCGTTCGGCCGGCCGGTCCGGACGGGCTAAAAGCCGTCCGAAAAATTCGGCCGGTCGGACGGGCCATGTCCGAACCGGCCGGCCGGACGGCTAAGACGACGGCCGGTCGGAACCGGTCCGTCCGGTTCGGCCGGCCGGACAAATTTTTTTTTTATTTAAATTATTATGTTATATATTCGAAATAATTATGTTATAAATTAGACTATATTATTATGTTATAAATTATTAAGTTACATTTTAGACTTGATTATGCTATAAATTGGACGTTTATCGTGTTAGGAGTTACAAATTATTATGTTACATGTTGATTATAATATAAATTGGACGTTAGATATTATTGTGTTACGAGTTAGAAATTATTATATTACATGTTAGTCTTGGTTATGTTGTAAATTGACGTTAGATAGTATCGTGTTAGGAGTTACAAATTATTATGTTACATGTTGATTATAATATAAATTGGACGTTAGATATTATCGTGTTACGAGTTAGAAATTATTATATTACATGTTAGTCTTGGTTATGTTATAAATTGACGTTACATAGTATCGTGTTAGAAATAACAAATTATTATGTTACATGTTATAGTTGATTATATTATAAATTGGACGTTAGATATTATCGTGATCGTGTTAGGAGTTACAAATTATTGTGTGACATGTTAGGCTTCATTATGCTATAAATTGGACGTTAGATAATATCATGTTATGAGTTACAAATTATTATGTTACATGCTATAATTAATTATCTTAATTTAACACGTTCTAAAAATATAATATTGTACTATATAGCAGGAGTCATGGGAAGATTTTGGAGGAGATGATGTTGATTACAGTCTGCGTTTCAATACCTGTACATTATTTAATAGTGCTCAGGACGCTATTGAAGCTGCAAAACACCAGGCAATGCTGAATGGTTTCCTATTAATAATTTCGAGCCACAAAAAGAAAACGGTCAGGCTTTTGAAGTGCCATAGAGGCGAACGGTACAGAGGCACAAGCGGAAATTCTAGAAAGACAAAAATGAATAAGTGCGGCTGCAATTTTGAGATCAAAGTAAAAAAGGTGTCCGGCGCTCCATACTGGAGGATCTGTAGATGTAGCAATGAAGAGAAGGGCTACCATAACCATATATTTGTTGTGTATCTTGAGGGCCATCGCCAGTTGAGCGGCCTCAGCGCTTCATCTAAGAAAATTGTTCGTGATATGACGGACGCTCAGGTGGCGCCGGAAAAAATTATGGCTGCGCTGAAAGAAAAGAATCCGGGAGACAACGTTCATATGCGACAGGTATATATATTTATATCTTGTAATATATGTTTTAATTAACATTTTGAGGTTTATTATGATAATTAGTAATTTTTTATATGTAAAAGTTATTGTGCTAATTAATAAATTTTATTATATTTACTAATGTATTATTATTGTGATAGTTAATAATTTTTTATCAAATTAATCGCATTGATATACTTTTATATTTATTAATATAATAATTTTTTTATTTTAAATTATAATAATCATTATAATTAACGCTAATCGGTGACAGGTATATAACTTGAGAGATAAGCTGCGGAGAGAGAGTTCCGACGGTAGAGACGTTCCTTCCCAGCTTATGCATTTAGCCGTGAGCAGCGAGTATACAGTTTATGCAGAATCCGATCCGAACACGAAAGCGTTGACGCATATATTCATGGCCCATCCTGCGTCGATCAATCTATTCCGGACATATCACTGGTATGTCGGCATAGATTCCACGTATAAAACCAACAGGTATGTTACTTTATAAATACTTTATTAGTATGAATCTTAAATAGCGTGTTTGATTAAGAAAACTTTTATTTGATTATATTTTTTTTCTTCTTGGTCTCATTTGCACAGGTACAAGATGTCGTTGGTCGAGATGATTGGGATGACGCCGTGCAACCAGAACTTCCTAATTGCGTATGCGCTCATCAGGGACGAGAAAGAGGCCAGTTACGACTGGGTTCTAGAGAAGTTGAGACTACTGATAGGCCAAGACGTATATCCTTATGTTGTTGTCAGTGACAGAGAGTTGGGTTTACTCACTCCTATTCAGAGGCATTTTCCTAAATCAGCCCACTTACTCTGCACGTGGCACATCAACAAGGATGTGGAAGCCAGAGCCTACAAACTATTTGGGAAGAGTAAAAAATTCTCGGAGATTTTGACACACAGTACGTGGAAGACGATTGCAGAGGCCAGTACGTTCGATGCCTACACCGATGCCGATGCCGAGCTGCACACAAAATATTCGAAGTCTCCAGAGGTGATACGGTATGTGGAGGGCACATGGTTAGGGCACCGCGAGTTGTTTGTGAAGGCTTGGACCAACCGAGTGACACATTTTGGAAACACAACTTCCTGTAGGGTGGAGAGTGCCCACTCTATGTTGAAGGAGTGGCTTCAGACGTCCACCGGCACGCTCGATACAGTTTGGCAGAAGATTAATAAGCACATCGATAATCAAGTGACTGAAATCAAGTACGTACTGCAATTTTTGAATGCGTTATTATATTACTGCATTAATTAATTATAATATAACATTATGTAACGTATTATCAGGACGGCGCTTGAGGCCTCGAGATCTAAGAAGAATACACGGTATAAGGGAATCCTTTTCGTGAGCGTGATACTAAGGGTCTCGCATTACTGTCTGAGTTTATTGGACGCTGAGCTTACGAGGATGGTCGACTTGGACGCTGATGTTTACACTAGCTGCGGCTGTGTATTGCAGTTCACTCATAGACTTCCTTGTGCCTGTCTGCTCGATAACGCAGTTGATTTCAACATTCCGATTGATCTCGGAATGATTCACCAGTTTTGGAGAACGCTACAGATATTAGAGCCAGTAATTTAAGGTTAATGTTTTATTTATTAAAATACATTATTTGGTTTAATTCATTGACTTTTTTATCGTATACTTGTAGGGACTGGTCATCAGAGCCAGGCGAGCCAGGCTGCATGGTCAGATGAGGAGTTCTTTCAGACGCTTGTGAGTGAGGTTGAAACCCGCGATCTCGCGACGATGCGGTACGTGAATCAGTTCATGTATAATCATCTTTACCCAGACCAACAGGATTATGCGGAACCTGAGGTTAAGGATAACCCGCGAGGTCGTCCCAAGAAAACTAATTCAACTAAGCGTAAACCATCTGCTTTTGAGTACAACGATAGATCACGAGGTCGAAAATCGAGCCGTACGACCACTTCTTCGCGTGGACAGACAAGTTCGTCTTCTCAACAGTCACAAGGGGATGAAGGTCATACATTTTTTTTTAAAATATGGCTGAGCGTTAATTAAAGTATTTATATGATTATATAAATTGTGACGTGAAATTATTATGATATTTATTGAGAGTTTAGACCGACAAATATATTTGGATTTTCAATGTGACAATCAATCCCCTGCCATATGTTGGACTACATATGAGTTACCTGAATGTGGATGCGGATGGTAACTGCGGATTTCGGGTCATCGCGAGTCACGTGTATGGTCACCAGAAGTACTGGGCAGATGCAAGAGACAGCATTGCGAATGAGGTCGTCAGCCACCGTGAATTGTACGAGTACATCTATTATAGAGATATCGACGCCGGACTCCGTCGCGTAAGGTGGGGCAAGGGCCCTTGTGGACGGGCTCACTGGTTCGAAGTTTCGCAGGACCTCTACGCCGTTGCGACCCTATTTAATGTGGTTGTCGTTCATTTGAGCTCTGGTTCGCAAGGTGGGCAGCACGACTTATTCAGCATCACAGTGTTGCCTCTCACTGCACGATCATCGGCTAGAGGACCATGTCGTGAGATTGCCATTTGCCATCTTGGTACTGTAGCACACTACATTCGTTTAGATTTGACTAATGATTGTCCATTACCGCCTATTCATTCCATGTGGTTCCGTTACCGAGATCAATCGGTTGTGGGTTGGGAGGATCAGTACGAGTCTAGGTTGCGATTGTGTTATACTGTTCAAACAAAACCTTCTTGAATAAAAGAACGATATTATTCACTTGTGGTGTGACGCTTCTCATTCAACTTAAGTTTAGCAAATAAAAATAAATAAATGAATCAGTTCAACTTAAGTTTAGCCAAAAAAAAAAAACATTAATTTGAATGATTAATGTACTAAAAATGACAAAAAAAGTACCATTAATGCGATTTCGATTGCCCTTTAACACGAACGTATGTTCCGGCGCTCGAGACAAGCTCGTTCTCCTGAGTCGACCCATTGGGTCTCTCAGGAGAACGAGCATGTCTCAAAGCGCCGGAACATGCGTTCGTGTTACAGGGCAATCGAAAATCGCATTAATGGTACTATTTTTTTCATTTTTAATATAAATCATTCAACTTCATGTTTTACAAATAATAAATAAAAATAAATAAAATCATTCAACTTAATGTTTTACAATAATAATTAAAAAAAACATTCATTACATCATTATTGGGCGTTGTCGTAACCCAACTTAAACTTAGCAAAATATTCTTCGACTTGCGCCGCCTCCGGACATTCAACAAGAAATTGCTGCATGGTCGATGTAATGCCCAAAAGACGGTCCACCCATTAAAAAAATGGAAGAATAAAAAGATAAGACTAAAATTTATTAAAAAAAAATTATTGTAATGAAATAACATTAATTAAAATTTAGTAACCAACTTACATAGGCGG